TTATCCCAGTTATCCCAGTTATCCCAGTGGCAGGGACACTTGCTGTGTCCTCACCTGCCAGCTGAGGGCACTTCCAGGTCCTTCCAACCCCGGAATTTTGGGGGTTTGGGGCTCCCCTCTCCCCAAACCTCCCCATTCTGGTTCCATTTTCCAGGAGTGGCTCAGCAATCCCAGCCCACCCCAGGCACTTGATTAAAGCTGAGCTTTGGCTTCCACTGGAGAATTTTAATTCCTCTCTCTGATTTATTGCAGCTCTGGAGGAACCCGACAGCAAACAGACTTTGATATCCTGTTCAATAATTATCCCATCAATATTTATCTCCCAGGAATGCAGGAATTGAGTGCAGGGAATCACTGGATCAGCTCTTCCTGCCCTGCCTGTGAAATCAGCCCAGATGGGCCCCATCGTTCACACAAATCCCATTTTTCCAGCCTGGACCAAAGGCCAGGGCTGCAAAAGCCAATATTTGTTAAATGCCTGAATTAATTCCAAGGGAAATGTGCAGGGAAGTGGCAGCTCCAGCCCTGTCCCCACGTCCCCAGGAGGTGACATGGAGCCACTGAAACACAGGACAGGATGGACAGAGACACCTGGGAATAAAATCCAGGAATCTCCCTGTGCAGCTGCTGCCACAAACTCTGGGAATATGGGAATGGGAATTCCATGGAATCACCCGGGTGAGTGTGGGCAGATAAAAATGAACATTTGGGATTTTTTTTCATCCAGTGACTCAACTCTGCTGCCAACCCTGTTTGCCAGAGGGAGAGGGGAGGAAAACCCAGCGGGGTGAGCTGGGAATGGGAATGGGGCTGCAGTGGGAGATCCCAAACTGTCCCTGATCCCAAACTGTCCCTGATCCCAAAACTGTCCCTGATCCCAAATTGTCCCTGATCCCAAAACTGTCCCTGATCCCAAACTGTCCCTGATCCCAAACTGTCCCTGATCCCAAATGTGTCTCAAACCCCAAACTTGTCCAAGATCCCAAACTGTTCCAGATCCCAAAAGTGTCTCAGATCCCGAATGTGCCCCAGACCCCAAACGTGTCCCTGATCCCAAACATTTCTCAAACCCCAAACATGTTCTAGATCCCAAATGTGTCCCAGACTCCAAACCTGTCCCAGACCCCAAATATTCCCAGACCCCAAACTGAGCCAGACCTCAAACTGTCCCAGACCCCAAATCTGTCCCAGATCCCAAACATTCCCAGACCCCAAATCTGTCCTAGACCCCAAACTGTGACAGACCCCAAATGTGTCCCAGACCCCAAACCTATTCCAGACCCCAAACCTGTCCCAAACCCCAAACATGTCCCAGACTCCAAACATTCCCAGACCCCAAACTGTCCCAGACTCCAAACATTCCCAGACCCCAAATGTGTCCCAAACCCCAAACTGTCCCAGACCCCAAACTATTCCAGATCCCAAACATTCCCAGATCCCAAATGTGTCCCAGACCCCAAACTGTGACAGACCCCAAACTGTGACAAACCCCAAACATTCCCAAACTGTTCCAGACCCCAAACCTGTCCCAGCCCCCAAACATTCCCAGCCCCCAGCCCCACCCTGGCCCCACTCACCGGGTCCCCTTCCACCACCTCCCCTTTGTGGTTTTTGATCACCATCACCACCTGGGCCTGGAAGGTGATGATCAGCACAGGGCCCTGCTCCATCATCTTCCCCATGGCCAGCTGCAGGCACACACAACCCCATGGAAAAAACCCCAATTCCATTAATTCAGGTATCATGGAAAAGATATTTCCCCCAAAAATTTCCAATAAAAAAA